CTGGAGGGACAGCCTCACCTCCTTGGGCAAACACCAGCCTTCTCTACATGTTAAGATCTTTATCTGCACCAGACAACTTACTCCAAGTTCAGTGCTAAAGGTGGGGGCAAAGTGGATGGCCCATCTACTTGATTTTTTTCTTTTTCTTCTCTCTCTTTTAGAATCTGCGTTCCGCAGCGTCTGATTTGTTTTAAATTCTCGCTCCCCAGCCAAAACCTAAACAAAGATTCGGGTTACATCCCTTTCTGCTGCTGCGCACGCGGGAGGGGAAGCGGAGGTCTCCTGGGTTCCCAAGCGTTAGTCCTCCCGAAATGCACATTGGTGGTTCCATCTTCATTTTCGAAAAGTTTCCCCTTTAAGACAAAGAAGGGGCGTCTGACCGACTAGATTTGATTTGCGACTAGATTTGGAATCAAGGATACAAGAAAGACGAAAGTATGTTACTCGCGAACGTTGCTTTTATTTAATTCTAGACAAAATCTCTTCCATAGGTGGAGGCCGCCAGTGCAGCTGTGCGTTCCGTGCTGGAGTGTGCGCCTGTGCCTATACGTAGGGGGTAGGTAGGAGAAATTTCGATCTGGACGGAAAAGTGCAGGAGCTTTTCGTTTGCTTGCTTGATCTATTGTTATTTCCTTATAAAGTCTCACTTCGTTTATAGAAGAATATACATTTTTAAGAAGTTATTTTTTAAACGACTTTCATTTCCCATTTATCCTTGTTTTAGATACACGAAAGGGAAACATTTGGAACTTAGGTAATATAAAGACATCTTGGAGTCTATTTTATCAAGCCTTGTAACCAGGCTTTGTTACTTTGTTACAGAAATGTGTGCAGTAAAACACCAGGACAGGAAATCTTATTCCCTTGTCGAAGATGAAGATGGGAGACTTTTGCCCAGACCAGCTACCAGCAGCTAGCGGAGGGGCAGTGGGAGAGTGGACACGCTTGCTTTCTGGGGATGGAGTGAGCCCGGGGCTGAGTAAGGGCTGCGACTTTGGGTTTTCTTTGATTGCCCCTTTTCCTCCTTAGCCGGGGAACTTAGGAACAGGCGCCACCTCTTCTTTCCCTTTCAGTGGTTATGCACATATTCATATTAGCGTCCTTCAGCCCGCCACTCCCCGGAGACACCCTTTACTTTTAGCGGGGAATAAGAGGGACCCAAGATTTGGAGTAACCTATATTCTGGTGGCACACTGAAGGATTCGGGTTTGGACTGACTCCCGGGAAAGCTAAACTGTGTTTTGTTTTGTTTTTCTTTTTCCGTCGAAACAAAAATCAGGGTTGGGTGAGGGAATCCACATAATAATGTATTTTCCATAAGATACTGCTTCTCCGGAATGGAAACTGACTGTTGAGGAACTCTGGCTCCAGCAGGCCGCAAGTAGGACCGATCCCTTGGAGGAGGAATTAAAACTAGAATCTAGCTTGCGGATTTCCTCAAAGTCCTTTGTGCTAAGGTTTGCAACGTGGATCTGTCCTTTGCCTGCTAGAGAGAACGGCCTGAGCCGGTCATCTGGAGAGCCCCG